CGCGCCGCGGCGGCGGCCGAGCATGTCTACGGATTGCAGCTCGCAGGCGCGCATTCGCGCAGGGAGCTATTGGGCGCGCGCGTTCTCAGCCGCGCGAAGCCGCATTCGACGGGGCCGGCAGCGCGCGCGTGCCGCGATCAACCTAAAGCCCAGAGCGGGCCCAGCGCGCCCTGCTTCCATTCCCAACTCAACGGCCCGCCGCCCGCGCTTGCGTTCGAGGCAGACCTGCTCAGGATAGCGATATGTGCGACGTGGAAGCAGCGTCGCCGCGCCCGCCGGTGTCCTTGTTTGTCCGTGATCGAGAAGGCGCGATCTTGCGCTGGTCGCTCTTGGGGCCGTCAGCGCGCGTCACGTTGCTTGACGACTCGGGCCCGCATTCGCTGCGGCCGCGGCGGGCAATGCATTGGGGCTGGGGGGTGGGGAGGCGAGGGGGGTCGCAAATGGCGCCTCCCTCATTGTCCGAGATGGCAGAATGGCCGAGGCTCCGGGGTGCTTGGCAGACCGCGCGCTGCCCGAGCTCTGTCCGAGCCGAGAGGATGGTCGAGGTGCGGGGGGGGGTCAGCAGACCGCGCGTTACCCCAGGTCTGATCCGGGAGGATGGCCGAGGTGCGGGGGGGGGCCGGCAGACCGCGCTATGCCCCAGGTCCATCCGAGCCGGGAGGATGCCCGAGGTGCGGGGGGGGGGCGGCAGACCGCACATATCACCCCAGGTCCATCCGAGCTGGGAGGATGGCTGAGGTGCGGGGGGGCGTCGCCAGACCGCACATCTCTCCGAATCGTCGGCCGGGAGGATGGCCGAGGCGCGGGGTGGGTCAGCAAACTACGCATTACCCCAGGTCTATCCGAGCCGGGATGTTGCCCGAGGTGCCAAGGGTCATAGCACAATGGGGTGCCCACAGTGGGTGGAGGGCTGCACATTGGGTGGCCACCTTTGGTGGGTCATTGCCATCTGGGCGCGCAAGCTGCGGGGGGGGCTGGAGTGCGGGGTGCCATCCTGGTGGCCGGTGTCCGCGGTGGGTGGCGTGTCTGGAAGGGGCCTCGCAGGGTGGTGCTCCTGCCTCGAGATGCTCTGCTGCGCGGGGTGCTCGCCCTTCGGCTCGCGCGTCGAATGGGTCGCCCGTCGCGGAGGGTGTCGCTCAGAGCAAGGCGCCCGCCTCGGCGATGAGGCCCTCCCTGGCGGAGATCTCTCGGGCGGGGCGCGACCGCCGCACGGGCCCGGACTTTGCGGCGTCGGGCGACCACCGCGACGGGCTGCGTGCAGGGCCTGGGGTGTGTGTGTGGGGGGGGGGGGGGGGCGTTTTGGGGCGCCGCTGGGCGGCTTCGCGCGCGGGCGCTGGTGGTTCCCTCGGAGATCAGCGGCGACGTTTGCAGGGGCACTTCTGGGGGCCCGTGGGGTCAGGCCGTTGCCGCTCGCTGGGAAACTCGCTTGGCGAAGGGCCCAGCCATTCGCAGATGTGAGAGCCGCAGTTGTGGATATCGTCTTCGGTGGCGCTCCCTATGGCACCCCCATGGGGCCACGAAGCGCGCGGGGGGCGTGCCGAAACGGGTGGCGGAGACGCGTAGGAACGTTGCCACTGAGGCCTTAGGTGGAGCTCCCTATATGGGGCCACTCCCGCTGAGCGTCTTCCGACGCAGGATGAGCCTGAGCGGCCGCGCGTGCGGGTTCTGCGCCTCGCGCGCGGCGCCCGTCCAGTAGATTGGGACCTGCAGGGCCGATGCGAGGCGCGGCGGTGCCCCCTCTCGCGCGCCGCGCTGAGTGACGCTGGGGCCGCCGCAGGGGCGGCCGCCCTGTCCCCCGTCGCGCACTCTGCGATTCAATGCAGGATGGTAGCCGCGCGAGCGGGTACCCTGCCCCGCCCCCGCGCGCGATTCTTTCTTGAGGCGGAGCTTGGGCCAGGGCGGCACTGCGCGCGGTGGCCCTGCTCCGCGCCCCGCGGCTCTCCGGTGGGGCCAGTCCAAGAATGCCGCGCGCGCGCGGCGGCCCTCGCCGCCCCTGCCCCCCGCGCACGGCATCGCATATGCAGAGTCGGTCAAGGCCGCCGCGCGCGCAGCGGCCCTGTCCCCCCCCGGGGAGCGCTCGTCAGTTCGTATGTGACCAGGGCCGCCGCGCGCAGCAGAGACCCCCGCGCTTCGCGCAATGGCCGCCGCGGGCGCAGTAGCTTCTGCCGTCGCGCGCGTTTTTTTTTTCCTTCGCGGTCGGAATGACGAAGGGGCCGCCTCTCGCGTGGCCATGCGCGCGCGGAATCTTCTTATTCAAGATGGCCGAGGGGGCGCCGCGCGTTCGGCGGCCCCGCGGCTCCGTGCATGGCGTTTGCGCTGTTAGTGTTCAACATGATATGATGCTGTAGCTGTCGCCGCGCGCCGCGTTCCTGCCCCCTCGCGCATGGCGCTGCTCACTTGCAGGGCGCCCCCCGCTCCGAGCCGCGCCCTGCCCCCTCGCGCGCTGTGGCCCCGCCCCTTGGTGCCAGTTTGTTCGCGCAGAGAGGGCCGGGGCCGCCGCGCGCGCTGCCCCGCGCAGGGCGCGCCAGGGCCGCCGCGCGCGGCCGCCGTGCCTGCTCGGACATGACGCCCCCGTGACCGTGCCCATGCAGAAGTTAACGGGCGCTGTGTTCTCCTAAGACGAGGTGGCCAGGGTCGCTGCGCGCGCGGTGGCCTTGCGCCCGCACGCGTGGCGTTCTTTTCAAGCAGATTGGGCCGGGGCCGACGCGCGCGCGGCAGATTTGCGCCTTTGCGGACGTAGCTGTTCATTCAGGATTGGCCACGGGCGCCGCGCGAGCGGCAGCTCTGCCCCCTTGCCGCGCGGAGCCGCCGCGCGCGCGTCCGCCGCGCGCCCGCGATGTTTGTCAACGCAGCACGGGCCAGGCCCGCCACGCGAGCGGCGGCCCCGCCCTTGCGCGCACTGGATTGCACTGCCGTGCAGAACTGGCAAGAGCCACCGCGAGCGCGGCGGCGCAGCTTTCTTGCGCGCTGCCGTGCTTTTAAATCCAGAATTGGCCGGGGCTGTCGCGCGGGCGGCGGCTGTGCCCGTTCGCGCGCAGGGGTGTTCCATTCGGGAAGGAGCAGGTCCGCCGGCCCCGCGGCGGGGTTTGTCCGCCCCCTCGCGCATGCCCGCTCAAAATGGGCCAGGGCCGCCGCGCGAGCGGCCGCCTTGCCCCCTCTTCTCTTCCCCCCCGCCCTGCCCCAGTGCGAGCGGCGGCGGCGCTCCTGCGCGCGCGGTGTCCTGGCGCGCGCGATTGGCCAGGGGCGCGGCGCGCGCGGCCGCGCCGCCCCCTTTCCCCCCCCCCCCCCCCTCTCTGCCGCATGGTTACCATTCGTTCAAGACGCGGCGGCCCTGCCCATCGCGCGCTGTGTTTCAGCTCGCAGAAGTGGGCGCGCCCGCTGCGGGCGCGGCGGCGGAGTCACCGCGCGCGTGGCGTGCTCTCTTTCAGAAGTGGCCAGCGTCGTCGCGCGCCGCGGCCCTTCCACTGCGCGCGCGGTGTTCCCCGCGCAGACCGGGTCAGCGTTGCCGCGCATTCGCTGGCCGCCGCCGCGGCGACACCGCCCCCCGCGCATTGGGCGCGTCGGCCTCGCCCCTTCGCCATCTGGTTTGCTGTGGTCGGAGTTGGCCAGGGCGCCGCGCGAGCGGCTTCCCTGGCCCCCGCGCGCGTTGCCGCATCCTGTTCGCATGGGCAAGGGCCGCCATGGCGGCGGCCCAGGCCCCTCGCGCGCTGCGTCGTTCCCTCCGCGATTCGCTCGAGCCGCCCCGCGCGCGGCGTTCCCGGCCCGCCGCGCGCTGTTCCTTGTCGCGCAGAATTGGGCAGCCTCCCCCCCGCTCCGCGCAAATGTGTTATTCCCCGCGCGCGGTGGGCGGAGGCTTCCGAGCCCGCGGCTGCCTTGGCGCGTCGCGCATTTTATTCGATGCGCCGAATCGGCCAAGGCCGTCGCGCGCGCGGCGCCCCGCCCCCTCGCGCATTGGTTCTCCCCCGCGCGGCCTCGGCCACTGCCGCAGCGCGCGCGGCGGCCCGCCAGGTCCCATTGCGCATGCGGCCCAGGGCCATTGCGGCGGCCAGCGAGCCCTCTTCGCAAGCTCGGGGCAAGGGGCCCGGGGGCCGCCGCTCGCACCCCGCCCCTCCCGCGCCCCGGCTCTGGACGCTGGTGCGTGCATTCTCGTTTCCTTAAAGCGTATTGGTTTGCTCTCCAGGGCCTCTACATCGTATTGTTATGTGTTCCCTCTGCCCTTCCTGCAGGATCTTCATATTTCCCATTGGCTCTCCCGCAGAATCCTTGCCTGCTCTCCTTCGCCAGCCGAATGTTCATTATTTCGATTTCGTGGACCCCGCCCCGGATCTGTGTATTTCCTACGTGGGCGTGGCGCAGAATCCCCATCCCATCTATCAGTGCCCACTGCAAAACTTATTATTGCCTCGCCGAGGGGGCCAGTGCACTGCGACGCGGGAAGTGCCTTCAGAGCAGCTCCTGGCGTCGCGGCAAATTGCTTGCCGAGGCAAGCGCGCCGCGCAATTAGACTTGAAATCTGTCTTCAAACTGCCCCGCGCGGACAGCAGTGCCCCCCTGCTCGCGGGAAAGATGCAGACCCCCCCGGGACTTGCAAATTTTGATACAACCTTGCCGTACACGCTCCAACGTGCCAGAAGGCACGGTGGCCCATCGAGACCGAACTCGGTAGTGAAAAAAGGACGTGCACCTACATGAATCTACGTTAGTCCGAGTAGGCATTGCGCGAACGTTCGTATCACGCGGCTGGTCTCGCGGACGGGGGAGCTGTGTTCATGTGGTTGGGCGCGCGCGTCCTTTGTGGGCCGTCGACAAGCCCTGAAATCCGACGGCGCGAAAAAATTGAAACATCGTGAGAAATCACGACCCGAGCCCGAGACCCCACCTTCCTGCGTCATTTTTCGAGCCGGATCGATTTGTGAGGGTCCCAGGGCCCGAAATTGAGCGAAAACGCCCGGCTCGAAAAAAACTGAGTCGCCAGGATCTCAGGGAACAACCGCCCCGAGGTCAGCAGCCTCCGCGCCCAGGCGGACGGGGCCGAGCTCCGCGCCCAGGAGCACGCCGAGGAGCGGTTGCGGGCGGCGCGCCTGGAGCTCCTGCAGGAGCCGTGGGCGGGCGCCTGGGGCTGGCCCGACGACGACGACGACGACGACGACGACGACGACGACGACGACGGCGATGACGACGACGACGACCACGATGACGATGACGATGTCGTCATCGTCATCATCATCATCGTCATCGTCATCGTCGTCGGGCGGGCGCCGGGAGCCGTTGTGGGAGGGGAGGGAAGGCAGGGCTTGTTTCGATCCCGCCGATTGGACTCGATTCGATTCCGATGACTTCCGATTCCGATTCCAACCGACTTGGAGTTCCGATTTGAACTGTGATTTCTCAGTTCGATGGAGGCATACTGGACTGCCAATTTCCGCCGATTCGACTTCTCCCGACTCGGGTGCCGACTTCTGCCGATCCGATCCGACTGATCGGTTCGACTTATCGATTCGGTTCTGGGCTCTCATGGAAGGGCCGGTGTCACCCCAACATGAGACGAGCATGGCACATGTGTGGTGCACAAGCGGGAGGTGTTTCATAGTGGGCGGGTGATTCCGCAGAGAGGGAGAAGCAACACTTTGTTTCCTTCTGGGCGGAAGCTCACCCACTCATGCTTCCCGAGCCAGTAGAACGCAACGGGCACATTTTCCTGTGCGTTGCCATTTTGGCTCAAGTGCCTGGCGTTCTCCTTACAAATCCGTTGAAGTTCCATGGCGGGCGCTTTCTGGCCCTGCCGCTGCAGAAACGACATCTTTCAAGATGGCTGTACAGTATGTTCGCGTCGGACGCACGTGTCCGACGAGGACACATTGAACTAGTATGTCCTTGTACATCCGAATGGTGCGGATACTGCTACCATCCCATCGTTTTCGCACTTTTGGGGCTCCTGGGAGGCTCTCGTCGCCACCGCTGGAGTCGCCTCGAAATTCTAGTCAGAATTCGCCCCGCTACAGGTCAGGGGAGTAGCGGTGTCGGTACTTTGTGGTTCCCCCAGTTCCTCCGATTCGATTCGATTCGATTTCGATCTATTCCGGTTTCGATTCGAATCGATTTCGGACTCATTTGGATTATGATGTTTCATGGGAGCTCTTATTAGCTTGCCGATTTCATCGCCGACTTGTTTTCTCCCGACTTTGCTGCCGATCTCCGCCGATCCGAATCAGTTCGACCGCCGATCCGACTTGTCGACTCGATGCTGGGCGCTCCCAGAGTCCTTATGCAGGTGGACACTGGTGAGCGCGCTGGGCGGCCGCGGGCACCCTTCGGGCGGGAGCTGTGATCCTCGAGCCCCGATCGTCGAGCTTTTCGATCCTCGAGCGTCGATCCTCGAGCTCCAATCCTCGAGTGCGGATCCTCGAGCTCCGGTCCTCGACATGCCATCCTCGGGGGCCCGTCCACCCCGATCCTCGAGCTTTGCTCTTCGAGGTGCCAGGATCTTCGTGACACCGCGCATTTGCGGAGAGGAGGTGGGGGGCGGCGTGGTCGTCGGCAGTCTGCCAAGGAGGTGGGCCAGGAGCAGAAGAAGCAAGTGGTAGAACCAGGCGGGCAGATCGGGAGGGCAGACCCTGGCAGGCGGGTCGTGAAGGCGGGCCCAGGCGGCCAGGGCGAGCAGGCGGGTTGCTGAAGCATGAGTCGCGAGGACGTCTCGAGCGTCAGCGCGATTCCCAAGTAAATCCTGAGAAAGGCCACCAGCGAGAGCGTGATTCCTGAGTGTCGAAGGCGCGGCGTTTGAATCAATTGCTAGGAATATGCACGCAAGAGCGCGATTCCTGCATACATTGTGAGGAAGTCCCGCGCGAGAGCGCGATTTTGGAATTCATTGCAGGGAAGTACCAGGCGGGAGCCGTTGTTGTTGTAGCTGGGGGGCCAACAACGTATAGTTTGAGTACGAAGGTTTCTTGGATATGCAACAGGGTGCGAGTCCCGAGGGGGGGACTTTCAATGAAAAACTGAATGTGAACCGGCGGGGGGGAACAGCAATGTCCGTAAGGGCTTCGCCCCATGCCGCCGGCCCCCTGTCTCGGATAATGGGAGATGCAAAAGCTAAATCATGAGGTCTGGGCGCCGCCGTGAAGCGGTGTCGGGACCTGTTTGTTTTTGGACCCTGACCCTTCGGATCTGCGTGAGGGGTGCCACCGGATTTTAGAAATGTTGCAAATCCCATATGTTTTTGGACCCTGACCCTACGGATCTGCGTGAGGGGTGCCGCCGAATTTCAGAAATGTGGCAAATCCCATGTGTTTTTGGACCCTGACCCTGTCGATCGCATGAGGGGTGCTTCCGAATTTCAGAAATGTTGAGAATCCCATAGGTTTTCGGACCCTGACCCCGCCGATCTGCGTGAGGGGTGCCGCCGAATTTTAGAAATGTAGCAAATCCAATTGGGTTTTGGACCCTGACCCCGCCGATCTGCGTGAGGGGTGCCACGAAATTTTAGAAATGTGGCAAATCCCATGTGTTTTTGGACCCTGACCCCGCCGGTGTGTGAGGTGTGCCAGCGAATTTCAGAAATGTAGCAAATCCTACATGTTTTTACATCCTGGCCCCGCCGATCTGCGTGAAGGGTGCCAGCGAATTTCAGAAATGTAGTAAATCCCATATGTTTTTGGACCCTGACCCCGCCGAACTTCGTGAGGGGTGCCGCCGAATTTCAGAAATGTGGCACATCCCATGTGTTTTTGGACCCTGACCCCGCCGATCTGCGTGAGTTGTGCCATCGAATTTTAGAAATGTGGCAAATCCCATGTGTTTTTGGACCCTCACCCCGCCGATCTGCGTGAGGGGTGTAAATTTCTACCGACCCCAGCAATTCAGAGCACACGCTCAGGGCGTGCTAAACCTGCCCGTTTGGGCCTCCCCCCCTCGCGCGGTCCATCAACAAGGGACAGTGAGCAGCAAGAAGCAGAACTGTCACGGTGGCAACTGGAAGCTGCAACTGCCACAGGAAATTGCGAAGAACCTTCGGCCTACAGCCTGGTGGCCCCACAAGGGGGCCGGCGGATTAATATATCCTTGAGGAACGAAAATACAACAACAGCAACAGCAGCAACATCAACAACATTAACAACAGCAGCAACAACAACAACGCAATAACAATCCGCACCGCAGAACCCCACTTCATTCTGATTTTCGTCTGAAGTGCTCCGTTCCTACACTTCGAAGATCTCGACTCGGCGTGCTGACCCTCATCCTTGAGCCCTGGCAGGAGCGGGGTGGAGAGTTTGGTTGCAAGAACATGGCGCGGGCCTTGGTCGTTAGTTTGTGTTGTTGGTGCCGATTTGGATTTCTTAGGGCCGCCGAGGTTTCCTGGAAGCTTCAGGGGAGGACTCTGCGGGTCTTCGGCGGGCCTTTGGAAGCTCCGGCGCACCTCCAAGCCTGATACCTCGGATGGCTGGAGAGCTTCGGGGGCCTCCGGGTGACTGGGCACCTGGAGGACCGAGGACCTGGAGGCTCGCGGATCGATGAACGGGCACTTCGAGGATCGAGGAGCTGCTCCTTTGTTCGGGCGTTGTTCGGGGGCTTCTGATTGAGCGGGCATCTCCAGGATCAAGGATGCTTGATGGGAGGGGCCTTACGGCTGGCTCCACCGTCCCTGAAGGGGGATCGGGGATCAGGAGCCCCCAGGAAGGCTACGGGGCAGCCGAGGACCGCACGCAGGCAGGCCGACGGCGATCCTACAACTGGTTGAAGAACATCCCGAGACCGAGGGCCGAGTTTCTGTTCCTTGTTTCAAATGTTTTTGTTTGGCTTACGCTGGTCCGCCGACACCCACAAGGAGTGAGTGTTTGAGACGATCGTGGAAGTTGGGTCAGGAGCCTCCCGGATGAATCTGAGGGTCTCTTGGGATGCCAGTCTGGGGCCTCTTGGCGAGGTTCTATGTTTCATTCTGTCGGGGGGCATTTTGGGTGGCCGCCCGCTGGGGCGCCGCGGCCACAGGTGGAAGCAGCTCGCCCAAACGGGCTAGAATGTGACAGCCGTAATTGGCGACCACGCTGCCAGCTTTATCTCCCTCGTCTCCCTCATCTTTGTTCTTGCTGTTCCAACCTAGTTCAGCCTCGATCACCAGAAAGAGTTTCGAGCACCAAGAGAGTACCGAAACTGGAGAATGCTCACATGTGGGGCCCTGGGAGGCGATACTCGTTCGACATTTCGCTAGCGTTTCGGGTAGACACTGTTTCGATATTTCCTGGGTGCTCGGAATCATGTCTGAGATGTGGTCCTTAAGTAGCTATAGCACCCCGCAATTGCGGATAAGAGTGAGGGGGCGGGCGCGGGCGACGCGGGCGTCGTCGAGCCGGCGGACCTCGTGGCCCCCACCTTCCTTGTCGATGGCGCTCTCCTCCTCCTCCTCCTCCTCCTCCTCCTCCTCCTCCTCCTCTTCCTCGTCCTCGTCCTCGTCCTCATCGTCATCGTCATCCTCCTCCTCTACCTCGTCCTCCTCCTCCTCCTCTTCTCCCTCGTCCTCCCTCTCCCCCCCTCGTCCTTTCATCATTGTCCTCCCATTGTCGTCCTCCCCCTCATCGGCCTCCATCATCGTCCTCCCATTGTCGCCCATCATCATCATCCTCCCCCTCCTCCCCCTCCTCGTCCTCCTCGTCCCCCTCCTCCCCCTCCTCCTCCTTTTCTTTCTCCACATTCTCCTTACATGCTCTCTTGTTCCGCGTCCTCCTCGTCCCCTGTTTACTCCTCCTGCCTCCCCCTCCTTTCCCAAGATAACTGCAACGCAATCCTTTTTTCCACTTTATGCTCCCCGACTTCTCTGATCAAGGCAACTCGCCAGGGCAAAGTTGCTGGACGGGCTGGTGTGGATGCGCGGGGCTTGAAGAGGTCCTTGCGGGCTCAGACGGCATGCACAAATCCGCCGCCGCGCTTGTGCGGCATTGGTTTGTTCAGTGAACGTGGTTTGGGTCGCGGGTGGGTCGCGGGCTCTCCACCTCCACCTGGAAGGAATGCAAAAGCAGCCCGCCGCAGGCGCCAAAATAATTGTTTGTACACTGAACGTGGTTTGGGTCGTGGGTGGGCCGCGGGTTCTCCACCGGGAGCGAAT